AAAATTCCCGCCACGGGAAAGGCATGAAAGCACTCCCTTCAGGGGTCGAAAAAAACCGTGCCCTTTTGGTCTTTGTGCATTTCGGTGTTGACTGGAACTGTGGTGCTGTGGTGGGTGCTGCAGCAGCTTTCTGGCGTATGCTTGTTGGTTCACCCTTCCCTACAAACCTGGAGTTGAGTTGGTGGATCCTGAGATTGCTGAATACAACACTGTCCACGTATTTTGATGAACAGGTCAGGTGCAGCCTCACTACTACAAGCTGTCTACCACAGGCTTAAGCTCCGGCAACCAAGGCCTGAACAAGCTCTCGACAAGAAGTTGGCCCTACAATCCCGAACGTTGAATAGCCGCAACTTCTAGAACGCATCTGAACATGGAGCATCCTGAGACATCTCGATCTCTCCAACCATAGTTTAAAGCTGTGACTGAATTCGAATCAAGACCCAACATGTTCAGAGTCAAAGGTCTTGCTCAGAAGCGCATGAACCAATCACAGCAAACTCAGCTGCTCCTGCTTGCTTGGGTTGCATTCTTCTCCTGGCCCATGGCCCTTTGCTTTGAGATCAGGGTCGGGAGTCACTTCGTAAGAACTCTAGTTTTTCAGACACTGGTCGCCGTACCGTATTGTAGATTCATGAGCTGCGAACTCAGCGACCTCCCCACCCCTTGCACGCTGGCGACAGTAGAGCTCATCCCCATCTTTGACCTAGTGAAGCGTTGTTCCATGTCTAGACTCCTGCACTGTGGACCTAATTGTGGCATGGGTTACCATGCTAGCTCTTTCAACATGGTCGTCTCCGTGCCTCGATGGTTGTCGTGGTCGTTACTGTGTCCTCGATGGCAGCTGTGAAGCATCGTGGATGCCCCAAGATGCCGGTGAAGAGCCGTCCCAACTTGGACGAGAGTTCAACAGTTAAACGAGCTACGTGGACTAAAACTGTTCATGCTGCCTCGTTGCTCCTGCAACCACTTGCTCCTGTGGGATTTGCCGCCAAAGCTCTCTTCACGTTTTGAATTTGCTAGCGGCTAGCGAGTTGAACGACCGGTTGGTTGTGGGAATCAGGTTGCGTCGGCGCCTGTCGAAAACGCATGTCCCAGCACCATATTGCTAAGGCTGATGTTGAATAGTAGATCATGGACAACTATAAAAAGTACTGCGAACCACTCTCAACAAAATGACTTAAGGGGGATGTTATAGCGCATGTTGAGTCCGGATTGCCTAAAACAAGGAATGAACATAACTCGGGCTTGCGATCGCTAAGTACACCCGGGGCCTTGCTCAAGCCCTGTGGAGTCAATTCTGTTTTCCTTCTGAACCGCCGAAACTCATCTCCCGTGATAAGCTGCTTATAACTCATGTGCACCCAGGCAAAGCCCAAGGCTCGCGAAGGACGTGACAAGGCTTCTGAGAAGGACTGCGCCCATGTGTCACGGAACGGGGTTATCTACAAGCACCTCCTTCGAGCTTGGTTGATCTTAGAGTGCCTTGGGTTCAACAGGTTTGAGCGATGCTTTCGGGCGTGTAGACATGACCTTTAAGAGGCTTGCGAATGTCGCTGTCTTATGATGGCTTCAGGTACAAAGCTGAGGATGCAGGTCTCAAATTGAAAACCACAGTGTTCTGGATGCGACTGCGTAGTCACGACGTAGTCCATTCTTATGTTCTAGCTTTAGTTTCCGAGGTCTGCTATGCTGTACTGTACTGTGCGAGCACACAATGGGTTCCATGCCAGTGCACCTGGTGCAGATGTTTGCCCGAATCGTTGACGAGGTGCCTGCCAGAGCTAGGTAAACTTTGCCAGATATCGGACGTAGCTGTGCTGCGACGACAAGATATTGGATTCCAATTCAGACGGAGGCTGCTTGTAAACCACTTTGTCATGAGGCAAATTCGAGGTGCAGTGTCCCGAAACAGCTGCGGCTGTCGTTTTGCCACATCTGATCCTGGCGTGATGTTCCATCGTTGCCCCGGCATCCCAAAGCTCGATGACTGGCTGTGCAAGTGGAGTCGGGTGTCAGAGGTCAGTCAAAGAAGGAGCATGGTGTTTAGGCTCGGCAATCTGATGTTGTTGTGCCTTCCCCTGGATTGGAAGCCGGGATAACTGCACTTCCAGCAGATCTGGCGGCTTCCGCACCAACATGAGATGTCGCTAGGGTTCGCTGGGACTAGATGAGCGAATCGACAACGGATGTGCTTAGACCCTACACTGCCGCTTTGCGGCATGGCATGGATATGGTGGTCTACGGCCCATGTAGTAGTTGTCGTTTGGGATCCATTCCGCGATCCATGCGATGGTTGCACAATCGCGACTTCCATTGAGGCAAGTCGGGGCTTCAACTCCACGTAGGCTCCCAAACCAGCCCAAGCTTGTAAGTCTTGAAAGTCTTCAAAACATAACAAGAAGCAAGAACCCTGTAAGCCCAGAAGCCGAGCAACCCTGAATCCATACGGCTGGTTACTCGCCCAAAAACTCCAGGAGCGATCGGGAGAAAGAGGAGAGAAGGCGGACTTCGAGAAGCAGCCCGTGTCGGATGCTTCTTGGCTTATATGGGTTTGTCTGTCAGGCGGCTGGGGTCATCAAAGGACGATGCTGCTTGGTGGTCACCTCCTGAAGCGATACTGATACCATGCTTATATAGTGATACAGTACCTTTCTGCTCGTTGGTTTGACTTGTCTTGTATCTCGGCAGACCACGGACCTTGAGCAGAGCCTCCCATCATCCCGTCAATTCCTGTCCCCAAGGATCTGGCTGGAGGAAGGTCCAAGACTCAGGTGTGAAAGGAGCTTGGGCTGTGACCATGCAGGAGAGTGGAATTTCGGCCTTTGAGACCCAAGACATCGAAACATCTTTAAACCCTAGGTTCGAGCAATTCAAAGATTGGGCAGCCTACATTGAGCCTGAGAGGGAATCAATATCTTATGCGCAAGGGCTGACTGCCTCGACTATTAAGATTGCATTCAGGTTCAGAATATGCGTCCAGCCTCGAGGTCCTGAACCAAAGCTCTAGATACTTGCAGCCAAACCATTCATTCAAGCCCAGGTGAGCCCGAGGCCCGCAGCCAACACGGAGCATGATCAGATGGTGGAAGCAACATCTAAGCAACACCGGCATGAACTTGTCATGCCGGTCCTGCGGGACAACCTCTGTTTGTAGGTCCTTGACACGTTCTCTGCAGAGCATTTGCTGGCTCAAGTTCTGTAAGATGCCAAAGTGCAATTTCTGTCGGTTTCGTAGCAGTGTGTTTTGACGCTGATGTCGGCGGAACCATTGGTGGAAGATGAGCTTCTCGGACTTTCTGTGTGCTGAGTTTCCTCTTCTTTTGGGAATAGTTTATCGCAAGCACGTGCTTCCAACTTCGAGGCTCAAATTTCTCAAAGGTTGCGTCCTTGCCGGGGACAGATAGCAGAAAACCTTTATAGCGAGGTGCCTCGACCTACTACCCCCGGTCCTCCTGCGACCAACACCACCGCCGTGGCCCCGCAATTGCTGCCGTTGCCACTATTGCTTCCATTTGTTGTGCTACTGCTACGCCGTGGCTCCTGCTCCTCCTATTGCTGCCGCCACTGCTACCGCTACTGCTACTGCTAGTGTGCTGCTCCTGCTGGACTAATTCTGCCAGCGTAGATCCCAAAGAGCATGAAGGTGCCAGACCCGCATGCACGATGCAAAAGCCGTTCCGAATTCCTCAAGCTTCTTGGTATCCCACCGGTCCATCGCGTTCGACGCCATGCTGCCTCAGGGCCGCTCTCGTCTCGATGCTTATGGTCCTGCTGATCCCAATTTGGTGCAGCACTACCAGACCGTGCGAAGCTTTGTCGAAATCCAGAACCAAGTTGTGCAGCAGATGATGCCCCTGGTGTCAGGCCCAGGCGACGAGAAGTCGGCAGACAAAGAAGCATGTCATGATCCTGAAGAAGCCTGTGACGAGGACAAGTTCGGGGACGAGAACAAGGGACCCACAGAGTCTGAGTGCTGGAAGCCTCTGTTGCCCTTGGCACTGAGTGTCTCGACGATTTTGGGCGGAGTGACAGTGACTCTGGTGCAAGTTCCAATGTTGACCGAGCTGACCGCATGGCCATGCAGCGTTTTCGTTGCGATTGCCCTCGCTATCCATGGCCCCACCTTGCTTTGCATGCTGTGGGTGGCCAGGGCTGACCCTGGTCAGATAACCATTGAGGACGGCGAGCTCCCAAAGCGTACCCACAAGTCCTGGTTGTACCCGGAGCCCATTCGACGCTACGACCACTACTGCAGGTGGCTCCAGCACGTCGTTGGCCTGATGAATCACCGCGAGTTCATGGCGATGCTGATTGGCTTGACACTGATTGCGGTTCTGGGAGTCATCATGGACCCTGCCCTTGCTGTCTTGGCCTACAAAAGGCCCGGGGTCCAGATCGTGACGGGTATCATCCTTGTGTTGCATTGGATATATAACATCCAGGTCGAGAGTCTGTCAGACTCCGACGAGTACAACGAGCTATTGGACAACGGAGAATTCGTCTACTCCCCAGAGACAAACTCCTTTGACAGGGGAATTTCTAGGCTTCCGATTTGTGCATCCGGCAGCTTTTGCATGGACATCTCCGTTAGATAAGAAACAAAGCATGCAGAAATTCGTAAAAGGCAAACGAGTCTCCAGATCGTGAGCGGGAAAATTCCGACGCATGCGCTAGTACAGGGACGTAGATCAATCAGTTTCTTGAGATGAAGAAGGCCTCGCAGCTTGGATTGAGGAATGTCGGGTTGCTAAGTGTTTCCAACCACAAGCTCTTTCGTTTCGGCACAATTCCTCTGTTTCCGCATGCATCCAGACATGAATCTTCCCCAGCATGCAATGGTTTGAGCCCGGCCATTCTGGACGGTGTGTTTAGGAGCCTCTACACACATGAACCCAATGTTGAACTTCTCGAGGTCTTCGGCCTGTAAAAGAAGGAGACAGCATCACTAATATAGTCACTAAACCGAAAGCAGCCTCCCATGTGGCATCGGTTCAGGCAAGGCATTAGAGCATATGTGCCAGGATCACATCGTCATCTACCCAAACAAAACTTTTCCGCCGGAGGAAGTTACAAAGAATCACTCCGAATCGCAAGCATGTTCTACCCAGCTGCAGTCCTCGGCAGCAGGTTTGCCGATCGTGACGAGATGGGCCTTAGGCCGTTGTCCGACAGCACACCGACGGCGGCGGCAGAGATGAAGAAGCCCACGGGATTTCATTTATGCAGGGTTTCAGCTTGAAGTGCAGCAATTGTCGGATTACCCTGGTGTTGGCTAGCTACTCTAACTCGATGCCGACAGGCTCGCACATCGTCCGACTGCCGGCGAAGGAACTTCAACTCGTCTAGCAGTCTAGTTCAAGTGCATCGGGTCATTTGGTTTTTCACGAGCAGCCAAGGTATGTTGGCTTATTGCTTGTGTATGTCCCGGTCATTAGCCAGATTCTGGCCTGGCCTACTTATTTCGTTGCCGGGCGATACCTGGGTCAGCAGGACGCAAGTTACCATATATATCTTTTGGCGGTTTCAGGGCGCTGGGTTAACTGTCTGCAGCCGGAGCGCAGCCTGGAAGAGAGATGTTGTGTTTGGGCGAGCAGGCAGCGCATGAATCGAACCCTACTTCCTGCACCGTCACTTTAGAGATTCACCATGTGGAGCTTGCTGGAGCTGACCACTGAACGATAGCCGTTTTCCTTGGCAGGACATGTACGATGCCAAGTTTCATTTCATCTACGAGTATCAGCTTGGATACGTGCTCCTGGCCTGGAAAGAAGCTCACATGTTTGGAGTTGAACCGCTGGCCTAGGGCCAAGTCCTCAGAGACCCAGCTTCAGTGCTTCTGTATGAGCTTTTCTGGGCCACGTGCCAAGCCCAAGCACTCGCTCGGCCTGGAGGTTTCTTGCTGTCTGGCTGGTTGGGCTGACCCGAACTATTATCACCATCCTGGCCAATGGCGCAGCTGGGAATCAAACATCCGCGTGTATACTCATGCCACTGCCCATCTTGCTGATTCATTCGCAGACGGTCTATGTAGTTACTGTAGTTAAAAACTGCAACCTGCTTGTACCGCTGAGCACATTGAGCTCGTTGACTCGAAGTCTCGGCAGCCGCACACTTTCCGAACCCGACCAAGGCCAGGGCCCCTGCACGGGTGAATCGGCCGGACCAGCACGTCTACAAGATCATGGCCAACTCGGGCCCTTTGAAGGACCTGAGTACCAAACGGCAATTCCTGGGCCTAGTATTTCGGATAGAAGCCGCTTGTATTTGGACCCCGTGAATCTGCTACTTTGCAATATGTTTGCTTCATGAATCCACCTTCGTAGCTTCACGCGGAAGTGTTCGTGGATTCCAAGTTCCAAGTGTCAAGATTGCCCCAATAGGTTCGAAGGATCTTCGTTTAGCTTCTTTGGCGCCTTGGAGCCATATGCACTCTTTTCTCGTGGTTTGTGAAGGTCTTGAAGCTTATTCCTGTGATGACTTGTTCGAGCTGCTACTTTGAAGCTGGCTCCGTGGTCGAGGGTTCACAGTTCGGATTTTGGCAGCATATGGAGCTGTTGAGGCTCGTCGATTGTGGCCCCGACCTGGGATGCGGATGTTAGTTTGCGACATCAACTTGTTCACTCGTTGTTGCCGATAGCTGCTGACTGCGTGATGTAAAATCACGACCGGAGTGAGTGATTTAAGGCTTTGCGCATCATTGAAATATGTAGTGAGAGCAGGAAGCAGGCAGCTGTCACATGTGGCAGGACGCACCTTACGTTCTCATGGCGAACACAGGCCGCGTCTCATGCATGTCCATGTACGGCGACATGTACTTACAAGCCTAGAGACGAGACTGTCAATCCCCGCAAAAACGGCTGAGCCCTTGACAGCTCCAGGGGCAGTTGGACGTTTCAACCGAGCGCAGCGGTCGATGTACAACACAGATGCCTCTCGGTGTCATGGTAGCTCAGGGTTTAAGGCCTCAAAGAATTGAAGATGCAAGGATTAGTTTCTTGCGCCTGAGAGTCTTGCAAGGATCACGGCTAATGTTGCACTGTGTTTAGTGCCGTTTTCCGGCGGCCTGAATAATTTGATCCCCGCGTGCTCCCCGGACCCCCGTCCTGGTAGAGCAGTACACGCGACCACAAGTACGGTCGAAATCCCCCAAGTTGAGAGGTCGGAAAACGACCCCTGCGTCCTGCTAGTGGTACCAAATTTTGGTTCTGATTTTGCTTGCCTGTTTCTTTGGTGTCCTTTTCACAATCCTCCTGGATGTGTGGTTTTCGGCAGTGACGAGTGGGGCCGTCAGCGACCATGACTGCTACAAGTAACCCTTCTTCGCCATTGGTTTCCTTAATTACGTGCAAAGAAGAGAAGCGAATGCGTGAATGTGTCAGTATAAAATCGCAAACGACTGAACGAAACAAGGAACATCAATATCATGCTATGCTTATGTTGATTGCCACTTCTACACTGTTTCGTGGGGGTTCTAGGACAATCCTATGGCTAAGAACTTGGGTTCGGGGCTTAGGATCCTATGGCTAAGAGATACTCGACCCGTATGAAATCGTATGAAGAAACAGCCTCATGCAAAACACCGCCCCTGAAAGCGGCAGCCTTGTGCTTGGTGGACGCGTGGTGACTTCAGGTTGTGCTGTGGCGAGGGCCCAAAGGTCAGGAATGATCCTAGGGCCGTAGAGTCAGACACGATGGTGGACCAGACAGCAAAAAAGCGCCATTGGACAGAAACTCTGGTGCACCTCCTGTCTAACTGGCAGGTCAGAAAGATGTTTCAGCTGCAACGCAGTTTAAAACGGAGCGAAGCTTTTGTGTTTCATGTCGTTTAATTTTAAGACATTTTTACAAAATGAAACGAAGTGCAAGCGTGATTTCACCAAAAGAATTCAACAAGGAGCCACACTTTACCATGTACTTCTTTTATTATGGTAAGAAGAAATGAACGACATGAAGACAGATATCGAAAGGAACGAATTTATTCGCCTAGAGCCCGAGCCTGCTCCCTCTTACGGGCTCCTCCATCCAAACCTAACGTAGGTACAGGCCATCTAAAATCCGAGCCTGAGCCCTCCTGCACCCCTTGGAAAGCCTCCAAAGTTTTCAAGCTCTTCAACCAGAAAAGCCAAACTGTAGATAAATACCATGTAAAACCCGAGCCTGAGCCCTCCTAAGGCCCATTAAATTCCCTGACAAAGGCTGCAAATCCTTTCCAAGTCCAGCCTGAGGCCCATCAAAATCCTTTGTAAAGGCCGCAAATGACTTCAAGATCCAGCTTCAGGCCCATTAAAATGCCTCATCCTCTACTCAGCAAAAAACTGACCGTTGGCAGATCCGGGCCATGTTTTGGCGCTTTATAGAGGACCTCCCCAAAACTTGCCGCATCATGAATGAGCCCCGGAAGAACACGTATTATAGAGGGTCACCAATTCAGGCACAGTGCAACATCATGCCATTGGAGCTTCAGAGCACGGGCTAAGGCGTAGCAGTGCCAGCTTTGGATAGTTACACTGTGTGGTCGTACTGCAGCCTGCGTCGGAGTTGCTGTCCTCGAGCTCCTGTGGCAGAAGCGACCATGGCGAAAACCGTTGTTCAACGGCTTGAGATTCCCAGTGCAGGTTAGGTGAGCTGTCATGTTTTAGCACAGGCGGGGTAAGCTCGAGCTGAGAGACGAGCCGCGCATCCGTTATAGTTCCTGCTGGAACAGTTTTGCTTTGAAACTGACATCTCAAGCCCTGAAGCCTGAGTGTGTACCAACCGTTTCTTCGACACTTATCCTGGTTTTGGCCGAGCCCCTATATCTTATCCAAAACCGAGGAATCCTTGCCCATGTACCTGATGTGCACTATGCTGGCTGCCAGCGTCTTCGGACCGATCGTCCTGTTGCCACTGCTTTTGTCTGCTTATGGGAGGATTACATTCGCGCACCTCGGTCTTCAAGGCAAGAAAAGCCGAAGCTTCAAGCGCATAAGCCACAGGCCTAAGCCCGGAACCTCTCAAGTTTCTTGCCCACGAAATAACATGGACAGCCAAGTTAATTAGAACTCATGTATAAATTGATCGTAAGGCGCCTATACATCGAGTCACTCACGGCTCGTGGTGCTGGCTTCCTGCCTTCCATGGTCGGCGAGAAGTGGACAGAGGGCCTGGCCACTTAGCTCGCATCGCGTTCGAGGTGTAGGACTTTCAGAGGCGTCAGGGTTTTTGCCGCTTGGTTGCCTGTTGCACGATTGTTCAACAGGTGCGAGTGGTACTTGGTCACTTCAACAATGCACGGCCTGCTTTTGGATTGGCACGGTGCCCCTAAGTACTTCAAGTTGGACGTGGCTGCAGCTTTCAATTTTTGCAAGGGGGATGGTGACAGCCCCAGACTGAACTAAACAGCCTCTGACTGACTCAGGTTCTTCTCTGTGCCATCAAGGGCATCTTCTTCAAGAGCATCCCGATCTGATCTGAGGGCCTAAGAAATACCAATGAAAGCATTCATCTGTCAGCTCAGAGCCAAAGTCTTAACCGGCTTAACCCTAAAGTATCCCTGTTCATGCACGAGAGCTACTTCAGGGCACCTTCGCCAAGCTCCTCGAATTCTTGCGGGGCTTGGCAGGATTCACACCGCAAAGAGAGAACAAAGCTGCGGAACAGAAAACACAGTTTACAAACAGAACCCCTAGGCCTGGTGCTTACAGGTAACTGCTCGTTGGTAGCTGGCATGGCATGTGATGTTCGCCAAGAGTCATAGAAATCTCTGCGAAAGTATCGCTTGTTGCTTGGCACGTCCGGCGAGGAACAAAAGGTGGCGTGTTTGGGTCTTCGGAAGTTGTGTGTACGTAGGCGTTGATGCTGTGGATCTCAAGAGTCTTGTCGCAGCAGTTTAATCTATCTCGAACCATGGCTGCAGTTCGACAGCAGCAGAAGTTGCGCTGAACCCGAGCCCCTAGGTCGAGTATGTTCGCGACTGGGCTTTGCCCCTGTAAGCTGTCGGTTGCTTACTTGCTGGCATTCGGTATCAGAGCACCAACAGAGTAGCTAATATTCCTCTAGTCCGAGACCTTTCATCCACCAGGAACTAAGACGCTCCTACTTTCTTTTATTGTTCACTCCATTGCTGGAAGTCCCAGTGAGTCCTTAGTGTCTTTGGCTCCGTCCCCTCAATCATCGAAACGAAAGAAGCAGTTTTCCCACAGCTTAACCCAAAACCTCCCATCCGAGTGTGTGAGCCTCCAGTTCGGTGTCCGAGGCTTCCACTCTCAATTGCCGGGTTTCGGCGGGTCTCTGCTGGCGAGCAAGTGCTGGGTGCTTCCGAGGCCGGCCAAGACGCAGGAGGTCTCCTCCAGAAAATCTTCGGCAGACAAGGCGCCGGGGCGTGCATCCAGAACACCCTTTTGGGCGGTGCGGGACGTGTCCTATCCTTGACTCTCCTCAGACTGCACGTTTCATAGTTTCATGTTCAGTTCGTAACAAGAAACGTCCGCGCTCTTCACCCCCAGTAATGTTAGCCGCAGCCTCAGCAATATGGATCGTCCGTTGCCGTAAGCAGTTCCAGATGGCCACTCCGGGCTTAGGAAGAGTGCTACAGTCACTAGAGCATCAGCTCAATTGAGCTTTCATTTCAGCAAGATTCGCCATCCAAGGTTTCTAATTGGGGGTTGAGATTAAACAGCAGCCTGCAGAGTCCGGAGAGCGAAGAACGCCCCTCCTCTGGAACACAACTGAGCCTAATCAGACTGCATTCTGAGCTCTTCTTCCGTAAACTCACAGCAGGATATCGTGCCGGAGGAGGACAGAAATGCGTTGCGGAGAATGTGCCGGTCTCAATGTGTCTTCGAGACACGCAGGGTTGCGTCGTTTGCACCAGTTTAGCCGCGGGTGGATTTTCTGTGTTTACAGCACGCTGTTGAATCTGCATCGCTTTATCCTTGAACGGCGCCAGTTCTTACCGTGTCGGGATCTCGAAACCCGAAAAAGTCTACCTCAACTTGCGGAGCTTCGGAGGTCAGGTGCAGTCTGGCGTTAGGCGGTATTTAAAGTGTCCTACACCCACTGATGATGATGCTGAGGCCGATGCTGAGGCGGATGCTGAGGCTGATGAAGAAGATTATGGTGATGGTGATGGTGATGGTGATGATGATGATGGAGAAGGAGGAGCAGGAGGAGCAGAAGGAAGAGGTGGTGATGATGATGATGATGATCAGAGCCTGACTGAGAATAATCATGAATCATGCTCATGACTCCTGACCATGATGAAGAGAAAGGGAGGAGAAACAGAATGAGGAGAATTATGGTCGTGAGACGATGTTGAGGACGATGGTAACCAAGAAAGTGGTGATGTTGACGACGATGCAGCTGGACTAAGCAGAAGAGTATTCGGGAAGGATTCTGACTTGGCCAGCTCGTCAAAAAGTTAGGCATTTCGAGAGCCTCGTCAACTTCGTGGCTTTCAATCGCAAAGAACCTCAGCGTGTCTTCCTGCCGGCAGGCGCGCCGCACAGGTTTTCCGGAACAAGGGCCTCAACTGAGTCGGATAGGGGATTCAACGTCGTGGTTGGCCTCCTCAAAAGAATGCTGAGCATCCCTGAAGGTTTATGGCTAGAGATTGTGATTGAATTTGTCAGTTGTTTCTTTACAGCGTGGTCTCAATGACATGCATCCTGAAGCTTCCAGCCCAAATGCGAGCTTCTAGCTTTTGCATCTCTAAGCTTCATCGCTTCGATGTGTCTGTTTCTCCTACATGATTCGTCCTCTGATTTATCCTGATAATTGAAAGTCCACCACATTGTCGTATCGCTGCACGAGACCAGAAACCCGCGAAGCCGACGTATTTCCCTGAGGTTGAACCTGTCCAGCAAGAACTGCCGCTGCGCATCCACACTTAACAGTACTTGAGACTTAACCAAATCTGTGAAGGATGCTGGCTTTTGTCGAGATGGAGCCTCTGGTCTCCCCGAATCCTTTGCAGAACCTTCTGAAGTATCGGAGCTCGAGGCATCCTCGAGTAAACTGCAGGTTCAGGGAATAAGCCATGCGCCAAGCTCGCTCGGTAGCTGTGTAAGGCCCTTGCAAAAACATCAGTTTCGCGTCAGAGGAGATCCGCCCCCTCCGCCGAGAAAATCACCTACGGAGGACCATGGGAATGGGAAGTCTTGCTGCGACAGGTTCAGGCGAGATTTGGTTGGTAGAGAAGCTGTACCCCGCACATTGGTCATTTGACGACCGATGCCGAAAGTCGGGCAGGGCAAAATTGTCCATCCAGGGTCTTGTCTACATCCTACAGACTGCACTACACACTAATATAGTTAAGTCCCTAATTAAGCCCCAATTGCGCATCCGCCACTTGTGCTGAGCGGGCTTTCGACGACTTCGGTGGATTTCGTGCTCGTGGCGTACTTGCCACAAACGTAGAGAAACATAGGTACCTGCTCCCTCGGCCTCAGACTCAGAACCTTCAAGCTACAATCGTGACGACCTAATGGGTCTCAGCCTCTAAGTTCGCAGTGTTTCCTTAAGGTTAATAAATACACAGGTGTGATAGCAAATACAAACAGCGCGCGGCCTCCGGGACCAGGCGGCGGAGGTGAGTGGGAAGGATGTTCTGCAAGCAAACCGAGAGGCCGCCTACTGTCAGAGTCTGCGCCTTCACGGGCAGGAGGTAGTGGGTGAAATTCGGTTTTTAAGGTTCCGACGTTTTAATGTTGGTTTCGGGGCGTTCTGGATGGAACAACCAGAAAGATTTTCGAGTTTCCATGGATCACGGCACAACTCTCAAACCCAAAGACGTTTCTGAAAACTTCTAGAGCCCTAGGACAAGTACTGCTTGCAGCTGAGACAGCACCCCTGAGCAGCAGCCCGACCCAATGTACGTAAAATATGTTATTGATTGCGCATAATGACCCCCTCGTTCAAGATCATGGCCACAACTATACTGGAGAAGCAAGGATGCCATCAGTCATCACAAACCCAAGGGCCCTAGGGCTTCTTGAACTGGGAGAAGCAAGCGGGATGAAGAGACACCCCGGTGTCTGCCTGCTTTGGGTCCAATGGCTCGCACATGGCCCACATGGGACCAGGCTCAGATGGTCCTCCACGGAGTGTTGGAGATGGAAGCTTCTGGGCCATCGACTTACGAGAAGTTCTCTGTGAACCTGGGGATGGTGGAGGGGATCGGGTTCGGACTAAGTCCCACGGCCCTTTAGAACTCACAAAGATCGAAGCCTCCCGGCTCGACTTCAGACAAGTCTTTCTTTAAGCTCACTGCGGAGTTTCTGACAGAAGGCTTCCGAGGTGACATGCCAGGTATCTTCAGACTCCCTTTTGCCCAGGCCCAACTCGGTGCTGGGAGGTGTGGCCCGCAGCCTCTCTGACCAGCTCAGCGCTGCTTCAGCCCGGGAAGCCCAGCCTGGCGCTTTTTGGGGCTTTCCGGGCTTGGCCCACGGCGGTCACTACTGTCAAAGGGACGAAGATGGTGAGAATCACTTCAAGCTCGTGTTATGGGGTAGTCGACATCACTCGAAGTGAAGGCAGAGGCTGAAGGAACAGCTGGAGAAGCCAGCGTTTCAGCATTCCGGGTTCAGGCTTGATGTGCGCAGGCGGACACCTTCAGGCGTCCCGAAAGATCACCGATAAGCAGACGAGACACTTCCCTTATTTAGGGATCTGTGGGAAGGGTATCTTCAAGCTCCGAAGTCAAGTCTGCCAGGGGAACCAGCGAGGGTGGTTCATTTCTTGTGTGCATGCGCTTGTGCCGAAGGGTTGCTTGCCGTTCGTGCAGAACTGGTCAGGGTTCAGTGCCCGTTCGGAGTTGGTCCATGCTAGGAGACTCTCCGAAGGGAGCAGGAGTTGCGCCGGTCCACAATGCGGGCTCAGGGCCCAGGGGCAAAGCACAAGGTGGAGATTCTCTCGGAGACGTTCGGATTGATGGTGCGATCCTGCATCAAGGCCTGTTTGGGCCTCTCAGTGTTGATGGGTTCGGAGACATTATGCGTTTTTCCAAGATGGGGCAGCCCAAGCTTGAAAGCTGTGACTGGTCCAGTGTCGTGGCTTTCGGTTGCAACCGCCACAACCGAACCACACCCGAAACAAGTGTTCTTTGACCAGCGATGGGTACTCCGGCCCACAAGTGCCCATCTCAGTGATTGAACAAAATGTGTTTGCATGACGCGCCTGAACTTGGAAGATTTGCCCAGCTACCCAAAACCTCAAACTGTAAGTCGCGGTGCAAGCTCAAGATGTTAAACATGGCAGGCTTAGCACTCCGTATCGAAGTAGGCATACAACTCCGAGACTCAACCTTTCCCCTGAACCTCAGAGCTGAAGCCATGAGCACCAAGCTCCAAAGCGTGAATTCAGTTCTTAGCAGGAGAAACAACAGCCAGATTTGCAGTTCAACGTAGGTTGGGCCGGGCCTCCGAATCCTCACGCTCAAAGCTTCGGCATCGCATTCCACAGGTGGTTGACCTGCCCTCATGTAGCGACTTCCTCCTTCGCATGGAGGCCTCCTGGATGCTGAAACCGGGTACTGGGGTCCTATGGATTTTAAGCCCACTGCTTTTGGCAGAGAGCCCGGGCTCTGCCGAACCAATGTTACGCACACGATGTGTAAGGATAAAAACATACAAAGTAGCCAGTAGCAAGCACAGATCTCACCGACAGAGTGACGATCAACTTTTAGATGCCGATAAAGACTTTGCAGACCCACCACCCCCACCATCACCAACAACACTCCCCCACCGCAACGGCCACTGCCACCGTCACCTCCGCCGCCGCCACGTAACCTTACTGAGCCCACTGAGCCCTAAACCCTGAACCCCAAACCCCTCAACCCTAACAAGTCGCATGAAGCTCTGAGCACCGCCAACAATTACCCTGAATCTGAAGCCCTCCCTGAAAGGCCGAACCCCTCACAGCCAAACGGTTTAGGAGTGTAGGGGTTTCTAAACCCTAAGCCCTGTGAACCCTGAACCCTTTAGTGAGTCTGGCTTGCAACTCTTTTTGCTTGGGGCCGCAGATGGGTTATGGATAAGACTGGACTGAAGCAAGAACAAGCAGAAACTCGCAACTGCCTCTGGAGGCAGCTGGGCTGGCGCTTGACGGAGAGCTCCTGGACCAGGCTGCCGCGCTTCAATGTGACCTTAAAATCCGAGAGTAGGAAACCTGACAGCTCAGGAATCAGAGCTTCAATTTGTCATAATACACAGCTGCGACAAGACTTCACTGTTACGCGGGTTGCATGCGCAGTTCTGATTCTAGACTAAGACAGCACCGATGGGCACGATCAGAGCGACTTTTTCGCAGGCCTTCGACACCAGACATGATCATTCTCACAGTTGTGAGGAAAATTGACAATCAATACTTCGGTTTCTCTTGGGCAGGTCATGGAGCTCTACTGGTCGCAGAAGAAGCAGTCCCAGGACCTGGGGCTCGGATCTCCAACTACAGCGAGCGAAACACCACAAGATACGTAATATGGTAAACAGCTAAAGATTCAGAAATAGCATGGCAACAGCAACAACCAATAGCAACGCAATTATAAACCTGACGAAAGCAGTGACAGCTATTCTGATCATGTGAGCGGTAATCGAGACACGATAAAAGAAAACAGCAGCGCCCTTGAACGTTGCATTACCAGCTGCAGTCTGAACGCGGCGCACAACAAAAGTGCTGACCCATCTCAAAATAATCGAATGTAATGGTTGACGACTAGTGTTTGAACCTTGGATGCTTGCTCAGTAGAGGAATCACAGGTGTATGAGGATGTGAGCATAATTGTCAATTGTGTGAATGCATGCTCTTGAATCGTAAATGTTGATAGCCACGATGAAGAAGATGACGACCAACATGATGCTGTCTAGGGCTAGATTCCGTGAATCTCTGTTTGTGAAGTTCCACGTCGTCCACCATCGAGGGCCGTCGCTCCGGCATCCAGGAGCCTACACGAAACGATTCTCTCAATATCCTCCCACAGCTTCCCGGCTGCCAAGACTTTCAGAGAGGTTCTTTTAATCACTTGGGGGGGGTGGGCAGATTGCAGGTTTCCGCCTCTAAGCCTCTGACCTCTGTCTTTGGGTGTGCGCCTTCGCTTTGAGGTTTGCAACTTTGAATTGTTTGTGGCGACAACGAGTTTTCTTCTAGTGACCAGTGTTGATATCGGCGAGACCTTTCTTGCATGCTCGAAAGCTTCCGATGCTCGCCGGACAGATTCTGACTTGGGTTTCGTGCCTTGAGCTAATCTTGGTCGCGCTGTCCGGCTTGGACTAAGCACTGAGCCGCACAGTCCTCAAAGCCAAAGACAGCTTCAAGCCTAAACCCTGGAACCATACCCTGCCCGATGAGATCGTCCTCGGGGACCCTGCAAGCACTTTCGCGGTGCAATCCAACTCGACCACCCTGTGTGCTCCACCTCGAAACAACAACCTGCAAATACAGGCTTTTGTAGTTAGCCCGCTTTACGAAAATCCCCAACAGTCCTTTGAAGGCATCTTCGAAGTGCTGCGGAGCAGTACCAGCCGCGCCAGGAAGTTCCGGGGATAATTTAGGGCTTCGGTGGCCACACGGTTTAGGTTTCGGGGTTTGAGGCTTGGGATTAGTTCAGGTCGTTTCTTGGTTTACAAGTTCGTGACTGGAATCTGTCTTTAGGCTGCACAGGAATTCTGATTGCGTGCCCGAAAACCTCAACGACACGCACAGAGACAAGCAGACAAGCAACAGCCGACATACAGACTGCAGATGTATAGACAGCCAGACAAGAACCCGAGACTGACACAGAGACAGGTAGAGATACCGACGGACGAATGGATCTGCTTGCCGACAGACGGACCGGCGCACAGAGCGACCGGCAGATCGAGTGAGAGAGAGAAAGATCACCAAGCATCACAGACGCACGTGAGCGCACAAACAAACGAGCAAACGAACAAGTGGACAAACGAAGAAACATGGACAGACACACACACACACACACACACGCACACACAGAGAGACACACACACAGAGACACGCACACACAGAGAGACACACACAGAGACACACACACACAGAGACACACACACACAGAGACACACACACACACAGAGACACACACACACACACAGAGAGACACACACAGAGACACACACAGACACACACAGACACACACAGACACACACAGACACACACACAGACACACAGACAGACACACACACAGACACACACACAGACACACACACAGACACACACACAGACACA